TTCTCTTGTTAGTAGGTTATCCTGGCCCTTCACAAAGCCCCACGCTCCACCCACTAATAAAATTTAGCCGAGGGGATAGTATCTCCTTCTAGAATTGACTGTAATAGGAATACGGTATCCTTTTGGATCATTTGTGGATCTTATATCTTTATGCATCTACGAATATTTATGACATAGTTATATTAGAAAAATGAAATGCTCACTTTGGAACAGAAATGAAATAAGAAGGAAACCTAAAAAGACAGGAAGAAGAATTTAATAAAGGTGTCGTATAGTGTAAACAAATGCATGCCAGTGAGTTCTGGGATGTGGATGTCTGATTTCGTACTACAAGATCTGACTTCTTTGTGGTCTGGCCAAAACGTCCGTTCATTCTACTTTATGGCCTAATGTCATAATCAAGATATTTAAAATAAATAGATAGTTCTTCATCCTATTATTTATGTATTTTTTTAATTTTTTCCTAATCAACATATAAAATTCTCTACTGGTTGTTGATTTGGTTTCCGTCTTTTTTATGTAGTCAAAACGACAGTGTCGGCGGGGTGCTTTCTTCAGACATTTTGCCGAGCCTGTAAAAGATTGTAGTGGTAAAACTTGACGTCACATGCTAGTGATGATCTCGATTACTATTGCATGCACAATATCAAAAAGTTTCTATATTTATCTCTCAGGGATGTGTGATAACTGTGCCTCCTGTAATGAAATCAAGGAATTGGACGTATCTGGTATGTCAGTTGGATTTGGACCCAGAAAGTTCTTGTGATCAGAGAACTTTCTTGGGCATGCAGTTACCGCATATTTGGAAATAAGTTCTGACGTTGAAATAAACTGCAGGCCACGCGAAAGCTATAGTATCACTTTTGCAAGAAGTGCAAGCGAATGACCAGAGGGTGACGATGTTGCAGTTTGTTGACAAGTTGAAGATAAAATACAAGAAACTGGGTGAGTTCTTTTTCTGATAGCTTTTGATATTTGACTTTTTGAAGCGGTATCAGGAATATCTTCCACAACTACAAAAGGATTTGCTAATAGACCATTCTGAATTGCCATATGAATCTATCTCATTCATTTCAGTGGCTTCCCTGAGTTCCAGCTTGCAGTATTGCACACTTGTTTGGTTGAGAAAGTTTTATTTCTTCAACTAAAACAAGAGAGGGAGAACAAGAACTGAAACAATAACAAAAATAAAAAATAAAAAAAATGAAAAAACACTGCTAGGAGGTTGTGTCAGTTACATGTTATAGTGCCCATGTTACTTTGCCTTCTTATCTGAAGACTCGTGGTGGTTTTCTCTGAATAATATAACATATTGTAAGTTTTCTGTTATATCGCATAGGAAGATCTAAACTTCAATTGGTATTTGTTTCACAATCTAAATCTGTATATGCATGTAGGAAATGGACTATGCTCAAAAGTGCCACGTCGATGATATTATTAGTCATGTACGGTGCTATTTTAGCATAGTGATGGTAGAATAAGAATTCCGGCAATGTGATGCTATTATTCCTACACTCCTAACATTTTATATGGTTGAACATAACTCCACCTATAACACAAATTAACAGTACCACATATAACATAATTTAACATGGTGTGTAGTGCTTACATCAGAATTCGTTCTCACTGAAACCTATCCCTGTGATATATAATTATATATAGCATCTCCATATGTATTGGTAAGTGTGGCCAGCTGCTTTTCACTATCCTGCATCATGTATAAGGCAGGGGTCCATAATTCCATGCATAATATCGTATTTCTTGGTATTTATTAAGATCCCGAGCTAAAAAAGGAGGAATGGGAACAGCTCGTGGTGCAGCTTCTGGTGGACCGTGTTTTGGTAAGATTTTGAGATCCAAGCTCATGTTCTTTTCTTTCGTTGAATTTCCTAGCTCGTGTTGTACTAGGAGTGTTTTTCTTAAATTTAATATATATAATTATACATAATATGACTGATAGTCAAACTATTTAGCTCATCATCTTATATCTCCATGTAAAAACAGAACATGATGGTTTTCAAATGTATTTATGCTTGACTTCTTTGCCACGTTGAAATAAGCGCACTTAAATAACATTGAAAGCCGATGAAAGAAATTGAGTGAGCCAGTGGAAATTATCTGGTCCTGATATCCAAATATATCTATAGCAGTCACAGAAGGAACAATATGTTACAGAAAATTTTTCAATTACTGGTGATGTTTTGTAATAAAAAGGCCCTTCATTTTTCTCTCTGTGATGCCTTTCTCATATTATGCAGAAAGAAGAATTTCAGCATACTGCTTATGCCACGAATGCTTATGTCACCGTAGGACCTTTGGCCAAGCAAGTATTACATGGTAAGAATGCTATAGTCTTGATTTCTGTGCGGGTTTCTTTGGGCTGCTGTATGATTTTTTTTTTTTCTAATTGTGGAATTCATGTATGCAACAGGATAAAATTAATTCCATTTTTCTTCGTTAAATTTGATTTGTTATTGAATTGTTCATAGTGTTTCCTAGCCAAAATTTGTTATTAATATGTCTGGTCTACGTGGTGTTGTCTTTGTGAATAGGGTTAAACTTTGTGAATTTATGTTTGCAGTATCCTTACTGTAATTTGCGATTATTTCTGCTGTCCCATTCCACGTAAAAGTTAATGTGTTTTGGGCTTAGCTTATTGCTTACTATGATCTTGTTGCGTGGAAACACACCCAAAAAAGATCTTACTATGCATTTCTATTTTCTTATTAGGTATCCTTGAGTATTAGGAGTGATAACTGAAGTCATCAATGATCTTTACCGTATAAATTTTCATCAGTAGTTTCAACCGTTGTTACTTTCTTCGTAGGAAAGAAGATGGTTAAGCTTGAAGTTCATCAAATTGGACAGAAGAATAGTCCAGCCAATTTGAAAACTCGCAAGCGTGGGCAATCTAGTGCTTTGGAACATAAACTTGACGAGCTACGGAAGGAACTTGCTTCACATGATGGAGGAATATTCCCTCACTCTGTGTTGTCCACCCAGCAAATTAGCATGTTGGGTGCCGAAAAGCCAAAGTCAATTGAAGAGGTATTCATTAATCTTTTGCCACTTGACTGTTGGTAACAATTCACTAACGTTGGGATAGAGATTTTGAGTTAGTAGTAAGTTTCTGCTGTTCTAAGAAAACAACCCAAATTTTGTTCTACAGTTAACTCTTAACTTTTTGGATAGAGGCCTAATTACCAAAATTGCATTTTTGAAATTATTGGAAGTGGCCCCTTAGATTTAATTTTATCTTACATTAACCCCTCCATAATCAGCGAGAAAACATTTGAACCCCCTTCCACATTGATAAAAAAGTTTTACAGGTAGCTTCTTGATGACAACAACGAATCAAATTCAAACTTCAGTCGAAGACCTACTTATTAATGTCTCAAGTTTCAAAATCTTGTATTTCTTTTCGCTCTTGCAGTTGGAGAAGATTATTGGAAAGTTGAAGACCGAGAAATATGGGTTGAGAATTCTAGAGGAAATAAAAAATTTTGAAACCAACAGCCAGATAGATGATGATTTTCGGGGTGGCGCGCAAGATGACAGCTCACCTAAAGCTTGTAAGAAGTTGAAAACTAGAAAAGCAGCAATTGTAATCGAGAGCAGTGGGGATGAAGCATGAATATCTCTATTTATCCAAGTGGTAGCTTTCATTTTGAGGGCCCTAAATTTGTGGTGGATAGTTCAAAATCCTTAAATCATCAATTATTCCTGATAAAGAGGCCTATTGTTCCTATTCAGAAAACTTTTTAGTATCTTTGTTTATTGTTTTATTTACTGATGGTGTTTGCCTGTTCTCCGAGACCACTTTCATGAGTAAAAGTATTTAATTTGGTCTTGCAATTGTCATGGGATCTTTCTTATTACATTTTTTTAACTCTACGCGTATGGCCAAAGCTTTTCCACTATTGATGGGTGTGAGTGAATGTATGAAAAGGCCATGTAAGTAGTAATCAGTATCCACATGCCTTTTCTGGCGAAGAAAAGTGTTGTATAGTGATCTTTGTACCGGGTTCCTATTTTTGTATCAAATTCTCCCATGTTTTACTGGAAATGAAAATCAATTAAAGTGGCAAATTCTAAAGTACATCTGATTCTAGGGCTGCCTTTTTTCACCGAAAATTCGACCGAACAAATCAAAATAATGAGAAAAATCAAAAAACCAAACTGTAACCGACCTTTAAATTTGGTTTGGTATCTGTATGCGCATATGATAAAACCAATAATTAAACCATAATACGAAATATGACTAAACAAATCTTCAACTGCAACATAGTACAACACAATTTCCAGCATCAACATAGTACAACATAATCTCCAGGGAACAGAAATTCGGCATTTCTCACATACAAAATCTCCAGAAAAGAGTAACTCATCTTCAAACGAAACATCCCTCACATAAAACCTCCAGACAACAGTAATTCACCAATCAAATAAATGTTTCTCAAACAAATCAGCTCTTACTCGTACAAAAAGATCCACAGCAACACGATACGAATCAAACCTCAAACTTTCACTATTCCACCCGAAACCCATCATCCAATACCCTCCCAGCACTGCAAATTAAGCCCCCACTCCACAAAAAAGAAGAAGAATGCCACTCAATAACCAATATCAGTCGGATCACCAACATACTCCGCAATCTGATCAAGCGTCACGTTAAGCAAGTCGTGTGTGTCCGCATCTCGAACCACGCCAGTCTCCTTCTCAAGATCCTTCTCCACCAGGCTCCCGTACACCCCTTTATGCCTTCCGTACAACACAAGCACGGGCCCTCCACGTATCGGCAGCACAGTCTCCAAAAACTCCTGGTCCACCTCCTGAACCAACTCTCTGCTCTTGTCAATCAACACATCGCATGTTCCGGGGCCCACAACATCCACAACTACGCCCTTTTGCGAAAAAAGCCCCCCACCCTTCAGCTCCCGACTTATGATCCTAACCCTAATTTGATTCCTCAGCCAATTCACTCTCCTGCCACCTCCCTTTTCCTCTTTCTTCATCGCCTCTCTCTCTCTAAGTTTCAACTCCTTCAACTTCCTAACGCACCTTTCCTCCTCAGCAGACCCCACCTCAGCCACATCCCGACTCCGGACCTTCACCTTGTCATCGCTCCCCGAAATCCTCAGGACCAATAATTCCCCGCCATTCTTCACATCGACTATTTTACCCTTGGTACCCACATCCCTACCATTCACAATCCTCACCTTTTTCCCTAGGCCGAGAGTTTCCCTTTCTTTCTTCCGTTGGCCGCTTGTGTTATTTTTCCCAGCATTAGCGTTACTTTCGGCACGGGCAGTGGGCAATTCATCGGTAAACCCTAACCCTCCTCGGCCGGCTTTTCTTGTGACTTCCGGAATCTTCACATCCTCCTTGGCATTGCGGCCAATGCCTTGGCCCTCCTTCCAGCCATAGCCCGAGAGGAGGGCTGCCCCAAAACCCTCCACGGGCACATCTGTGAATTCGTCCATCCCGGTGGCCTCCGGAAGCTTCTCGAGATCCTCCCTCAGTTTCCTTAGCTCAAAATCGGTGACGGACTCGTTGTGCCCGCGGGTGGCGAGGGGCGGCTGGCGGACGTTGAGGCCATAGCCCATGGAGCTATCAGAGGGCTCGGGATAGGAGGTCGGATCCAACTCGAACTGGAGGCCAGGGTCATCGCCGTTGGATTGGGAGAGTGCGGGGAGGTTTTTGAGTTTCTTGTAGGGGCGCAGCTGGTCGGGTAGCGGGGGGATAGGCTTGATCTTGGAGTCCGGCGACGGCGGAGCATCGCCGGAGCGAAATTCACTGACGTAGTTTCTGTCTGTAGGGGCGGGGTCGGAGGCTTTCTTGACGCGATTCGATTGGGGTTTCGTGTTGAGGGAAAACGAAACACTCATCCTCGAGCTCGTGCAGAGAAAAGGAAAGGAATCAATTTGTGTGATCGAATCTCTGCAAAAAGTGAAACCCAAACCGATTAGGGTTTCAAATGTTTACAAAATAGGGTGCAAATTTTTTTAATCCCATCCAATGTTTACTAACCTACCTTACATGATATGATAAAACCTGGGAATCTCAAATTTTGCCCTCATCAAATTTGTTCAACACAAAATTTAATTAGATGCAAGTTAATGCCTTATCAGAAATTAGCCTGAATCAGTTCAACACACGATTTAATTAAATGCATATTAAGGCCTTATCAGAAATTATCAGAAATTAGCCATTTAATACGAACACAACGGATTTCTTGAGCAATCAGTATCCCAAATCAGTTCAACACACGATCTAATTAGATGCAAATTAAGGCCTTATCAGAAATCAGTACCCAGAACACAGTTTACCGAGCACGACCAAAAGAAACCATACGCTGCTCCAATTTCAGATCGCGTACATCAATTTCCGATGCTTGCCGGTGATTTAGACATATATACTCGAAAAGGAGAACTCACCTCCGGTTAACAAGCCGCCGATACCTTTATACGCTGCTCCTCCGATCCCACGGTGCCCAAACCTTTAAAGCCGAGCCGAGGCCGCCCATCCCGATTTCCACCGACCACCTTCGTCCTCGTCTTACCGTCCTCGTCCTGCTGTACTCGTCGATAATGGCATCGTCGTCGTGTTGCTAGGGCTCGGCTGATTAGAACCCACTCGAAAAAAATAAAAAAAAAAAAGAGGAAGGAGAAGATGGTGATGTACGGGAGAGAGAGAGGTAGGGCAGAAGATTGGAGCACAATGCCAATTCGGCCTTCGATTTGATTGTATCAGCTATATTTGTAACATACTTGACATGCAGGGGTATAATTGCCAATTCACAGGCATTTTTTTGGACAAAATTGGCATTGCATTGCTGGGATTAAGAGGGGTGTATTCAATTAACACTTTTATGACATGATTGGTATGATAGAATGAAATTTGGAATGAAATGAATTAAAGAATGGAATGATTATGGGAATGGAATGAAAAATATTTTGTCATTGATGCGTTTGGTATGTAGAAGGAATATGACTGGAATAGAATGACATTATCATTTTTTTATTATAAAATAAATAGAATATTTTTTAAAAATAATATACTTTTAATAAATTATATATAAATATTTTTTAATAATATATAAAAATAAAATAATATATTTTTAATAATATAAAATATAATATATTTTTAATAATATATAAAAATAAAATAATATATTTTTAAATTATATATTAAAAATAATATATTCTTAAAAGTAATATATTTTTAATATATAAAAAATAATATATTTTTAGTAATATTTAAAAATAAAAAGTAATATATTTTTAATAATATATATTTTATTTTTTAATTAGACAGTAAATAAAAGTAAGTTTTTTAATTTTTTATTTTTATTTTTGAAAAATAATATATTTTTAATAGTAATATATTTTTAATATATAAAAAATAATATATTTTTAATAACATATAAAAATAAAATAATATATTTTTAAATTATATATAAATGCTTTTTTTAGTTTTATTTTTATATAAGTATATAATATATCTAATTAAAAAATAAATAAAAGTAAGTTTTCAATTTTTTTATTTGAATTTTTTTAAAAATAATTTTATTTAATATAGTTTAATCATGATTTATAATATACATTATATATATATTTATTTTTTTTATTATTATTTGTTAATTTTATTTTTTGAAAAATTGATTCCTACACACATGGGAATGAAAAAACCTTCCATTTACTATGGAATGGCTAATCCCATGGATATAGGTTTTGTCATTCCCATTGGAATGATCATTCTTTCTCAAAAAATATACCAATCATAGGATAAGGAATGAGTAAGGAAATGATCATTCCATTCTCATGTCATTCCTTCCTATCAATCATGCCATTAGTGACTTTTTAAGACTTCCAGAGTTTTGGGGTATTCAATTGAAACTTTTTTAGACTCTCCAAAAGTTTACATGTATTTAATTAAAATTTATTAACACTTTTTATAAGTCTCCAAAAGTTTTAAGGTATTCAATGAAAACTTTCCAAGAATCTCAATAAGTTACCCGTTATTCAAGTTGGTAAGATTTTATAAGACTTTACAAAAGAAAAGGATTTTTGGAGACTTTTTTACCAAAATATAAAGAAACCGATGCTTGTGAAAATCTCACCAAAATTGTAAGATTTTGTTGAACGTGAAGTCTCTTCTTTCTCTCGTCTACTACAAGGTACTCATACTTTTTCTCTAGGGTTTATAGAATCTTCACACCAATATGATTTTTTTTATTAGTACATGCAATATTCTCGTCTACTACGAATGATTGTATATTGTAATTTGCAAATGATTTTGATTTGTGATTCTAAGAGAAATGGTTCGAGAATATAATAAACTGACCAAAAGTCGGATTTTTGTTGAAAATTTGAGAGCTGAATTGCTGATGAGAGGCTAGACGCGCTTTATCAAGTAAATTTTTTTCAAGTTAATAAAACTAAAAAACTCACCCAATTGGTTACTTTTTTTTTTCTTTGTGCAGAGCTTTTTTGTTTATGAATTCTGTGGTTTGTTTCAATTGTTAATGGTGAGACTGCCTTTAGACGTGTTTTGAATTAATTGAATTTGATATCTATGGTTTTCTTACAATGTTAATGTCGAATAATAGTTTAGGAACACAATTGAAGATGGTATAGCTTGTAAAGATACTTGTGAATTTGCATTCTCTGTGTTTGTGAATAGGCTGAAAGCTAAGCAATAATCAAAAGATAATACACTTTATACAATGTTTTTGTTTACCTGTATCCTTTGTTATTACATGTTTTAAGACCTTGTTATTATATTTTTTAAGACCATGACAATATATGTCAGAATGCGTAGGACCTTAATTACATTACTTTTCTCCTTGTTTGATATCTTTGGGTTTGAGTTTATGGTGAACTTAATCATAAAAATGTTGCCTTTGCTTTATGCACTTAATAACGAGATGTAGTTTATTTACAGAGATTGAGTCCCGAATTATTTACTGATGAGATTGCATTTGTAGTTTACCAAATCTTTCTCTTTCGAGGATTTAGAGTTGTCAGATCAATATACATTTTAGTTGTCTGATTGGAATATTTTTAGCATGGGGTTATCATCATGTATATAGATGGCATGCGCATTTGAAAATTATTAGTTACTCGACATGATCGAAGTATTATCTGGTTCAAGTGTTTGTAAATTTAGCTGTTTATAGCAATGGTAGATTCATCACAAGGAAATGAAAAAGTTCAGAGATACGAAATATGGACATCTGAAGAGAGTAATGAATTGCTTAGACTCATAGTTGATGCAGCCAATCGCGGATGGCGTGATAAGTCTGGAAATTTGAGTAAAGCAACCGTAAAGAAACATATATTGCCCCCTCTTAATGCAAAGCTTGTAACTGAGAAGACGTATGCTCAATATAAAAGTCGTGTAAAATGGTTTAAGAAGCAATACGATAAATATGCCAAGCTTATGCGACATAACTCGGGCTTTGGCTGGGATGACGTGTCCAAGAAATTTACTGCTGATGAGCATGTGTGGGAGGACTACTTTAGGGTAAGCATATTTTATTGATAGTACTTGATATTATTAAAATATTTCATACCATAGTGCTTAATGACCTTTTTTTTTTAATCTTTTACTAGTCTCATCCCGGGGATAAGAGTTACAAGACAGACACTTTTTCTGATTATGAAGATCTGAGAATTGCTGTTGGATGTGGAACTGCTACTGGCAAAAGCTCAATTGCAATAGGCGATGATTGTTGAAGAAACGAATTTTGAGACAGAAGAAAGAATGGAAAATATTAATTCCATAGACGACTTGATGCTTGATCCAGATTCTGAGGTGTTCGTTAACACTAATAGCCCTCTCGACCATATGCCATTATCTCCGATGCACTCCCCACCATTCGCTCAACACAAGAGTTCAGAAAAACGTCCACCCGTTCGAAAGCAAAACAGAACTAATTTTGAAGCAAACCCCAAAAGCACTGCTTCTGACCCTGACAACCTCACAGAAAGTGTTAACAAGATTGTCCGTGCTCTTGAGTCTGTCGACACTAAAGAGTATAACTGTTGGGGCATTATAAAGGAGATTCCAAACTTAGACGATGATTCACGCTTCAAGGTCCTTGATTTGCTTAATACTAGAGCAAAGAAAGCAGAGTTTTGGAATATGGCACCGGAAGAACGTTTAAGATGGATTACATATAAATTAAAATGATATATTCTAGCTCCATGTGACATAATAAGTGGTTGATGTTTTTAACTTTGATTTTTTGATATAGCATTTGTTATTTTCCCTTAAGGATATATGCATATGAAATTTGAACCTTGTTTGGGATATTAACCAATCGAATGGTTTTTTATTTATTTATTATGTCGATGATGTTTTTATATTAATATTATTGTTATTTGATAAGCCTTTCATACCATTGATGATGATGTATTTTTTTTTTATTTCGCTCTTTATTTTTTAGGTACTTGTATTCACATAATGTCTGATAACATGATGCATGGAGACAATGACACCATCATGGAAGAGAATGAGGAAAATGACTATGAAGAGACTTTACATGAAGCTAATAGGCTCTTGTGCTTGGCAATTCAAGCAATTCTCTGCTTGTTGAACGAGCATATAACTAGTTCCTCTCTTCAAGGGGCAAACCGCACATTGGCAAGGCGACCGGTAACAAGTCATGGGCATGATTATATAAATAAAATTTTAAGAGAAGACCCAGAAAACTTTCGAGAAATTTATAGGATGTATCCTCAAGTGTTTCTAAAACTATCTTACATCATACGAGAAAAAAATTTACTACAAGATACAAGGTACATCTGTATCGAGGAAATGCTTGCAAGTTCTTGCTCATCATTGGTCAAAACAGTCGCTATTGTGTGATTCGTAAAATATATGGCCGGTTTCAGTTCACAGCAAGCCGAAGTTTCAACAAGGTTCTAAAAATATTAAAAAGGCTTGCCATTGATATGATGGTCAAGCCAGGATCTACAGTCCCAGAAAAAATAAGAGAGAGCACAATGTTTTATCCTTATTTCAAGGTAAGAGGTATATTTTTTTTTTAATTAGATTTGGTGTTAGTATTATTGTTAGATAGTGATTTTATCATTGTTATTTTTATCACTATCTACTGAACTTTTGATTATTCAGGATACTATTGGAGCTATCGATGGAACTCATATTCCGGCAATGGTGACTGAAAAAAATGCCCCAAGTCATAGAAATCGCTACGGGATTATTTCACAAAATATTTTGGCTGCTTGCAACTTTGATCTAGAATTCATTTATGTACTCAGCGGTTGGGAAGGTTCAGCACATGACTCCAAAATACTCAGTGACGCTTTAACTAAGAAAAATGGACTCAAAGTACCTCAAGGTAAGATATAAAAATAAAAAATAAAAAATCATTCACATATGCACAAATTTTTAGTGACAGAGCATATTACAAATTAGTTTATTTTCTTTCATATGTATATACATTTTTTCTAATATGACTTATGAGTTAACAATTAATTATTTTATATCCAGGTAAATGGTTTCTCGTGGATTGTGGATTTCCAAATCGACGTCAATTTTTTGGCTCCTTTTCGAGGTACTAGATATCACCTTCAAGATTTTTCTGGTCAAAGGCGTCATCCTAAAAATGCAAAGGAATTGTTTAATCTTCGTCACGCTTCTTTGAGGAATGTGGTGGAGCAAATATTTGGCATATTTAAATCTCGTTTCACAATTTTCAAAGCAGCCCCTCCTTTTCCATATCGTACACAAGCAGAGCTAGTCTTAGCTTGCGCAGGATTACATAATTTTCTGCACAAAGAGTGTCGGTCTGATGAATTTCCAGTTGATATTGAAGATGGAGTTTCAACAGAAGATGAAGCGCAAAATTTTGGACCATATTTTGAGAGTCAAGAACATGAAAGAGAAGCTGCAAATGCGTGGAGATTGAGTTTGGCAACGAACATGTGGAATGATGTTGGAAATATTTGATAGTTTATTTCATTTCTGCTCTTTTTTATTGTTCTAATTCCCGTACAATGTCGATAGATAACTATTGTGCTCTTTTGGTTCGATTGTTGAATGTTTTTCATGCTTGTTTTCTTATTGATTTCATTTGTTATAATATTTTTTTTCCTCTTAACTTCGTTCTTGCTCTGGATAGTGCTTAATATCATAACACATTTTAAATTAATATTATAATATTTTTAATTACTAATTTGACTTGATAGATACTATTTATTATGCACATAATATTTTTATGAGCATTTCATACAAATATATTATTATATTAAGAATTATATAAAAGTCTTAAAAAGTCTCAAAAATTCATATTGGAAGTGTTAAAAAGTTTCCATAACAATCCTACAAAATCCACCAAAGTCATTAAAAGTTGCATAAAGTCCACAAAAGTCATCTACTTTAAAAAGTCTTAAAAAGTCACTAAAAGTCTTAATTGAATACACCCCCCTAAGAGCATCTCCAATGGTATATAGTCCATTTTGAGATGTATAACATGGAGAAAGATAACTATAAAATTTTGTCTCCGATGGTGAATATCAATTTTAGTATAATTTGACATGTGTAACATTAAAATTGGTTGGAGATGATATATGTATTTAATAAATAATAAAAAATATAATAGAGGATATCTATAAGTACTTCTAGACATAGAAATATTTTTAGACATATTGAATGCCACATAAGATTAATTATGCCACATGGCAATAAAAATGAGCAATCCATGGACTATTGGAGATGCTCTGAAATATCACGCCTTGGAGCTCGGACAAAATAAACCTGCCAACTCAATTAAAAGATGTGGGACCCACGTGCCACACAATCCACACATCGGGCCCGAATCTTAATCTCTATACCACCTAGTAAACGTATGATAAGATAGGTTAATCAACATTATCCTATTCTATCAAGGCTAGTAAACTAGCCCTTTAGGTATCAATTGGGGCTTGATTATTTTACAAGCCCGGGATTAAAAAAAAAATTAAAAAACCGTGAAATACACGATATATGTTAGTAAGTTACTAATAATTAAAATTTGTGTTTCTGCAAATAAATTTAATAAAAAATGAAATTTATTTTAATATTATAACAAATTTATTATAAATAGATCGATGGTATAATAGATCACAGTGATATTCAGAAATTAATATTTATAAATCAAGATTACTGGTTAGCATCTGCTAGTACAAAATAGAGCTTTCCAAACTTTTTTTTTCTTCCACAAGATTTTTATTAATACCTCTATCTGCTAGTATAAAATAGAGCTTTCCTATTGTGTATTTCTTTGTTTCAGATTGCATTTTGCAACTGCATGACACTGTCAAACCTCATACCCAATACAAACTGTGGAGTACTGTGATCACACTAAGGGTCATAGACTACTAACTTCTTAAAATTAGACACCCCAGCAGAATCGTCTTTAACCTCTCCAAGCTGAGAAGTAGGTGAATCAGTGTTCATTGACCCATCAGAATTTTCATAATCTGACTCCAAGTCCCTAACAACTGAACTTTGCTTAATATCTTCAGCATTATTGGATTTCTTATACATTACCCTATCCCTCATTGTACCAAGGTATTCCTCATCATATATGCCTAAATTATCATCAAAGAGTCTATACTCACTAGAATAATCATCAGACTCATCATTAGATGAAACATAATCGTCATCATCTGAGCATTGTTCAACATCGTTAACATCAAGATCTCTTGCATTGTAACCCATGGTTATGGCATTATTTCCATCCTCTGGAGAGATTGCAACACCTTGTAATGCACCTTCTATTGCACATTCAGTTGACTGCCCATTCTGTTCACATTCGGTTGATTGCTCATTATGTGCAGATACATACACGTAAACAAGCCTTTTCGAAAGAGGTAACTTCTTCAACATCTTCATGATCTCAGTGACATCATGTATTTCTTTGTATTCATATGTCCCTGAAATCTTGTAGAAAATCTTCAACCCAACTTATCAATTTCTTCTACCAGATTAAAGAAACCAAATCTATCCAAGTCTAGTCCAGTAACTAAGTACATATAATCACCGAAGAAATCTCAATAATCAAGTACCCTCCATAGTTGAAATAAATTGCGAAAGAATTACTTCAACATTACGAAGAACAAGATAAAATATGTCACAGAACAACATATTTAAATTCGTGGTTTAACTCGAAATAATAATCATGGTTCAACAAATCTAAAAAACATGCCAATTACTAAAGCCACAACACCAGAATTAAAAAAAAAAAAAAAAATTATAGGCTCGAAGAATTGCCATTTTCGTTCTCATTTACAATTTTGGAATTGAAGCCTACAACACAACAATTTCATCTTATATGGAATAAGACAAAGGAATGAGCTCTACACGTTCTCCGCTACTGACGAAATTTCTTCCTTTGCCAATTCTTCACGTCCACAATTTTGGATTTTTGAAAATTTTAAATGGGGATGGAATTTAGGGATTTTAGAAAGGGATTAGGGTTTTAATAGTTTAGTTGGCTTTAGTGTCGCCGCATCAATGCCACATGTGGCCATGTCAGTTCGTTATTTCTGTCAATACCATGTCAGTTTTTATAAACGGAGCAGTAACAGAAATTGGGGAAAATGGGTGCTGGCCCACTACCATGAAGGACACTATGAAAGAAGGGAAAAGCCCATATGAAGCCCAAATGAGGTTCCATCCCAAAACCAATTGGTGGAAGGAGGAGTAGCCCATTAGTCTTATAAGGTGAGTCTATTTTCCATATATGAACGATGTGGGACAACTCACAAGTGATATTCTAACACGCCCCCTCACTTGTGAGTCCTTCGAAAAGCCCAAACCCAACTGGGCTGGGTGCCCCAAGCCCTACTACAAACAGGCTCCCATAAACGGGTACGTGGGGGATAAACAATGGGTACGTCATCACACGGTCCAAGATAGAACCGACTCTGATACCATGACAGAAACTAGGAAAAGTGGGTGCTGGGGTACGTCATCACACGGTCCAAGATAGAACCGGCTCTGATACCATGACAGAAACTGGGGAAAATGGGTGTTGGTCCACTACCATGAAGGACACCATGAAAGAAGGGAAAAACCCATATGTAGCCCAAATGGGGTTCCATCCCAAAACCAATTGGTGGAAGGAGGAGTAGCCCATTAGTCTTATAAGGTGTGTCTATTTTCCATATATGAACGATGTGGGACAACTCACAAGTGATATTCTAACATAGTCGTGATTCATTTGGTAAATGACATGTACTAAATTGCCAAATTAAAGAGATAATGATTAAATTACAAAAATGTAAAAGGACTACAATTTTGCATCTATAAAATAAGTCATGATAAAGAACTTTATACAACACTACTCCATCGCAGTGATTCATTTTGCATAAATGGTAAATGACATGTACTAAATTGCCAAATTAAAGAGATAATGATTAAATTACAAAAATATAAAAGGACTACAATTTTGCATCTATAAAATAAGTCATGATAAAGAACTTTATACAACACGACTCCATCGCAGCGCTTATCTGTGTGGTATTTTAGAACGGGCTGAGCTTTGCCGAAAATAAGAACTCGACGAGACAAATGAATGGGGCTGACTCGGAATAAAAATAACAACTCGAACACAGCTGAATCGGGCTGACTCGGCCACTCAGGTACCACCAAAAAACAACGAACTCTTCGTTCATTTTTCCCCTTTTTTCTTTTTCTCCATTTTCTTCATAAATTTGAGGTCTTCTATTAATATCATCCGCTGTGTATTGAAACCCTCGTCTCCTTCACACTCGTAGCCGCATAAATATTCTGTTTCAGGAAGAAATTGTATTCGCGGAATAGTCTGCCGGTTATTTTAGGTTTTACCTTAATATTTATTTGTGTGAAAAGTGGCACAACGTTTTCGTCATGGGTGCATGAATGGATCCGAAGTATGCGCTCAGACGTAGCAACCTGTGAAGGAAAAGGTATTTCCATGCCGTTTGTTATGCGCATTGAACAGATAGTTATGCCCATGGAACAGATACTGCTCTGTTGTGTGGTGTTTACTCTTCATTTCTTATCTTTTAATTTTGGGTCTGATGAAATTTCGTATGATCTGATAGATTTGTTCAAGTTTCACTTTTTATCGTTTGATTCGGTTTGCTGTTAATGGTAGGGATATCTTTATGGTTGCATGCACGAGATGACGGTTGCTGGGGTGTTTTCTCCTGTTGCAGTTGATGATTGTATACTACCTTCAAGAATTAGGGCGGCATTCAACTGAGTGGTATTAGTGAGATTTTTCTAACATGGCTCAACAGTCATCGCGGCTTCATCGGCTGCTAACGTTGTTGGACAGTATCCTTTATAGAACTGCTTTTTCGGGACCTCAGAAATTGGTTACAGATGTTGCTGAAATAATAAGCTAGTTTCGCTTGGGGATTGGTATGAGTGATGCTAGTATGCACTTCGAGTTATGTAGCAGTGAGATCTACCGTCTTTGTCCTTTTTATATTGGTTCTTGAAAATATCATTGTGATAAATGTATTTTCATGTGTTTCTTTGTTTCATTTCCCATTTGTCTTATTGTTCTTATTTGCGTCATGTTTAAAAATCATTTTGACCTTAACAAATGCTAAGCGGGTTCAACTCAAGCGACAAGGTTTTCAGCGGCAAGGCAGATCGGAGAGATTGCCAAATCTCATCCTCAGGACCTGAATGCTCTCCTGAGTAAGGTAATTATTATTATTGTTACTATTATAAATGAGTACATGTTGGTTTGGTCTCCGCAATTATCAAGTTTTTAGTCCAATTATTCAAGGAGCTAGGATGGAATTTGGTCATTTATACATTTCTTTGTTTATTTCAATTCTGTAGGTGAATTTAGATGAAGTCAATTCCTTTGCCATTTATATAAATAGGCAATCATACATGAAATATTGTTGTAGATACATTTATATATTTTCATGAATGATAAAGTGGACTGTGACCCTTATATTTTTCAATATATGCGGTTTTGAGTCTTGTGATAAAGCTAGGAGGTTTGGAGAGATCATCTTTGCATGTGACATTATTGAGTATAATTATATTTTATGGGACAGTGGACGAAATTAAGGAGGCATGGGGATCTACGTATTTGACAGATCATGTTTACATTCGAATATTTTCAAATAGATTTATATTTTATATGATAAGAGACGAAATTAAGGAGAAACTGTGATATACGTGTAACGTGTTTGATATCCATGGAAGTGCAAGTGATGCAGCATAGTAGTGTCGATAATATTGCTATTGCGGTTCTTCTGAGTAATAGTTATATAGAGGAAACGTGTGGATGCCAGGAATGCAAGTACTTGTCTGGTAAAATCAACATCAAGAGTTTTCATTGATCTCCACAAGCTCCAACATTGTTTTTTTGTTGATTAACCTAAAATTGTTTTCTTAACAAAATTAATACTTTCATATTGATGTTTCTCACTTTCAAAGTTTCAATATGAGCTTGACCCACATAAATTACAAGTACAGGTGTCTCAGTCTTTGCGGAGTAAAAAGTGGGAGACCAGAGTAGCTGCTGCTCATGCCGTGGGAGCTATTGCAGAGAGTGTCAAACATATATCTTTGACTGAACTCTCTAGTTCTGTTGAGTCAAAGATGTCCAAAGCCGGGATATCTGCAACATTTGAAGATGTTGTGACATGGCCAAACTTTCATTCTAAACTTGTAGGAAGCACTTCTTTCCGAAGGTATTTCTTTCACTTATTGTCTGCGTTTATGTTGTTTCTTTTGGGCATGCCTGCATAAAATTCTTGAACCCACTATGGTACAAAGTGATGTCATTTCATGGACGTATTTGGTTGCTCATAACTTACTTGGTTTTAAAATTTTTAACTTGCAGTTTTGATCTAAACAAGGTGTTGGAGTTCGGGGCTTTGGTGGCATCTGGTGGACTGGTACTTTCCCTTTCATTCTGCCTTGGGGTGAAAAACGAGGATTTTGTTTTTGTTTATTCATTCCTTTTTGCCTAAGAACATTGAGCTTTTCCTTATTGTGTTTTTGGGACAACGCTATTTGAAAGGGTATGTTGTCACATCATTTATGATATGTCCACCTGTTAAATTTTCCAAGAAGTTGTGGAGTTAGAGCTCCAAATATGGGGCATGATGCTTTCTGGCCTTGTTTATTAGGATTGCTTTGGTCAGGATTTTAAGAAACTTGTTATTACGTTGAGTTAGTTTAACTCTAAATATTTCTGTGCTTCTTTGTGAGTTATAATTTCACAACTCTGTGGTACCACTGAAGGTTTTTATTCAATTTATTGGTGGTTTTTGCTCATATATCGTGGAGGTTGTGTTTGTATATACGTTGATAGCAGTTGAGGTTTCATTATGTTACAGGAATATGATATTGCAAGCGACAATTGCAAGAATCCTAAGGAACGATTGGCTCGGCAGAAACAAAATCTTAAGCGTCGATTGGGTCAGTGATAATTTGTTTTTGGTATCATTTTTCACTTCTGAATTTGTGCCCTAGTCCTCTGACAATCTGTCTCCCGTTTTGGAGGTAAAATCTAAGTCTTATGGTTGTAAGATCCACCAACACAATTATGTATGTAAAGAGAGTAGATCCTGCATGCTGCTGCTTTAGTGCTTTTAGTTAAATATGTTGTACAGTTCCTGGTTCTTAAACTTCTGACCTTTTCCGATTTTCCTACTTTTTACATGGGAGAGTTATCAGTGGTTCACAGAACTTGCCGACAAACAGCACTCTCATTTTCTGACATGTGTCGTCCTATGATGAAACTTTCATTTACTAAAATAGTTGTAGAAATTGTCTACAGGTCTAGATGTGTGCGAGCAGTTCATGGATGTCAATGACGTGATAAGAGATGAGGATCTTATCGTGCACAAAATAAATAACCCGGACAATGGAAATGGGTTCCAGTATTTTTCCTCACAACCTCGTCATATACAGCAGTTTGTAACAAGCGTGGTGCCTTCATCCAGATCTAGAAGGCCCAGTGCAAGGGAGCTGAATCTTCTGAAACGAAAGGCGAAAAGTAACTCAAAAGATCAATCTAAGGGGTGGCCGAAAGATGGGAATACTGATCCCACCCATTCACATGATATGGTATCAACAAAGGGCATTTCTGTCGAGTCAACAAGCTCTAATAAGGTGAATACGGCATTTAACCGGAGTCCCATAATTTTATTGATGCGTCATGTTACTTCAGCAAAAATTTTCCCCAAATTGTCATCTCTTTTTCAGATCGAGATTATGGAGATTGTAATTTCCTTTAAACAGTACTGTCTTTTATCAATTATATGTTACTTATTTCTTTTCATTATGGCTGGCTAGCTGCAGCCTGCAGTAAAATTATGTAACAAGCCCTTGCATGAGATATCAAAAGTCTTTAAACAAGGGTGCAATATTTATATTAAAGTAAAACTACACTGAGGTCCTCATCAGAGCAGAGATGTCTCTAGCTAGGACAGATGCGGCTGTATTTATTGGTATGGGATTATAAGATTTTATATGGCAATGATGCGATTAAACAGTACTGAATCTTTCCATGTGTATTACAAATATGAAAGAAACTGAATCTCCCTGCCAAGGGAGAAAGGGTAAAATGAAACATACACGTGGTGTTTGTTTTAATCAATCGAAAGGCGAAAAGTTGTTCCCCCTGGAACAAGATGATTCCTCTGAGTCTGAGCACAGTCATTTGAGAATTCATGGTGTTTAATAGATGATGTGTCTAGGAAGTCCAGTATGTACCTGGAAATTGCTGTGTCAGCTCTACTGTAAGATCACAATGTTTCTTTACCTGAAGAAAATAAATGTCAGCTGCACGATCAGCATGCAGTAGTTTTTTTACTGGCCTATATTATGGGCTGATACCGTATAGGTTACAAGCATAAGATGATAAGGGTAAATTGCGATGGCTACAGAAGCTGCAAGGATGTTAGCGAGTCATTTACAAATTCTCCCATGAAAATTCTAAGATGCATATCTACATTATATTCTCCTTCAGCATGTATTCTACAAAGATCTTGCTTTACATCACCCGATTTATTTGTTGTCTCGAAAGTGTTACAAGAATTGAGAAGGCATGCTACTGAAGTGATTCTTCATGCAGCAACTTGTAGATACTATGTCTGATGATGAGAGTTCTGATAATGATGGAGATGGGGGCTGGCCTTTCCAGAATTTTGTTGAACAACTCCTTGTCGATATGTTTGACCCTGGTAGGTACTTTTTGCTTTACCCATAGAGGTTTTNNNNTTGTTTTTTTGATAATGTATGTGAATTTATAATGACTATTTTTCTTCTCAGTTTGGGAGGTTCGTCATGGGAGTATCATGGCTCTTAGGGAGATAATTACTTATCAAGGATCTAGTGCGGGAATCCTTATGCCTGAAGTCAGCAGTCGTGGTGTGTCAGTTTCTAATCTGAACGATATAGATAATAAATCTGAAATCAAAAGAAAGATGGAATTTGATTTGAATATGCAAGTGTTACTGGAAGAATCAGAGCCAGTTTCGAAGAGACCAAAGATTGAAAATGCACAGAGTGGAGATACAGATGTCTGTACAAAAGTTGATGAAGGGAAACCCGTTCCTAATATGGGTAATGGAGAAAATGATGTTAGATTTGTGAAGATGGAATTTCAATCTGGCATTGACAGAGCTTGCCATTCCATTTGTGATGATACAGTAAAACAAGAATACCATGAAGGCAAGGAATCATCAGTGACGATGAATATATTGAAGAACCTTCCTCAAAACTCTGAACTCATGAATCTTCTCAAACATGCCAGCACTTCATGGATACGAAACTTTGAATTTCTGCAGGATTGTGCAATTCGCTTCTTGTGCGTCTTGTCTTTGGACCGGTATGTTTTTATTTGTTAAATACTGAACTTCATAGTTTTATGCCAGTATTAAAGTTAAAGCCAGAGAATTTAAGTTGAATATAGAAGGAAAGGGCCAGCTCTCTGGATCCAAATTGCATATCCCATTGTGCATGAGTTTTCCATTAATTTTGGAATCTTGTTGTTTCATTTAAAGAATAACCTTGGTATCTGAGAGATCTATATGGTGTATATCTCTCTTTTAAGGTTTGGAGATTATGTCTCTGATCAAGTTGTTGCACCAGTAAGGGAAACTTGTGCGCAAGCTTTAGGTGCTGTATTCAAGTACATGCATCCGTCATTGGTTCAAGAGACATTGAACATTTTGTTGAAAATGCAGGTAAAATATTAAGGGAATTTGTATAGTAAATGTCTTCTTGATATTCGGATTATTTATGTCTGTAATTGCGACAATGTTTTTAATTAATGTTTCACTTCTTTCAGCGTAGACCAGAATGGGAGATCCGTCATGGAAGTCTTTTGGGTATAAAATATTTAGTTGCCGTGCGGCAGGTAGTTTCTGGGCCATGATGTGTTTTTCCCTACTATTACTCGACTTGTTTTAAGCAATTTTCTTAGTTCGACTGTTTGTGACAACTGGTATTGTTTAATGAAACTGATTCAACATGAATTCGTTCTTGTATTTTTTTCAACAACTATTATGGGACTTCGGGATGACACAGTGAATGTTAAGGTAGTATATAAGCACCATGTGTTGCTGATGAAGAGTATGGAAGCTGTTAACTGGAGTGAAATTACACTGCTTGCTTACATATACTGATGTCATGAATTTACTTGTTATGGTTTGTTGATTCAGATCCTTTTTTTTTTTTTTTCTGGCTTTCAATAATTCTCTGATTAGATGATGGTGCCAACAATACGGTTTAGTTTGAACTATTTTTTTAATTTACTTACAAGTGCAGTAAGTAAATATTTTGAAAGTGAACACGATAGAATTGAGTAAGTGCTCCATAGGTTTTTATTTCTACTCCCTCTGTTTACTTTTGATTGTCGTTTTGGGTTTGATATTTGTTGCTAATTATTTGTCGTTTTAGACAAAATCTTCCAATTTTATGGTATACACAATCTTTTATTGTGGAAAGAGATAATTAATTATAAGGAAAGAAAAAAATAATTGAAGTACAATAAGAGAAAATGATCATTAGGAAACTAATATCTAAATATAAAAATTAAGAAGATTTGACAAAAAGGTAACATGAATTGTTAATTTTCTTGTTTTCTCTAGAACGATATTTAATAGTAAAAGGAGGGAGTATTGAACTTATTACAGAGACTAACAAGAAGTCTTTATATGTTGAATATGAAGTCAAGGAATCTTTTTGCTTATGTTTCAGTTCCTTAGCTTTCTACATTAATAGAAATCTCAATTTGGACTTGGCATTGATTGATGTAGGCCATGTTTTTTTGTTCTTTTGTATATGTTAACTTATTCGGAATCAGGCATATAGACGAGGCTACGCTTTTTTTGTTGCATTGATATATATAGATAGATAGAGAGATAGAGAGATAGATAAATAGATATTGCTGAATGGCTTCTGTTTCTGCTTTTATGATCATTTATGATTTTATTCATTATATCGTTATTTGGTAACAGGAGATGCTTCATAATTTATTGGGCTTTGTTCTTCCTGCTTGCAAAACTGGACTTGAAGATCCTGATGATGATGTGAGAGCAGTGGCAGCCGAAGCATTGATTCCAACTTCCGCTTCTATTGTCTCTCTCAAAGGCTCAACTTTGCATTCAATTATTATGTTGCTCTGGGATATTTTGCTCGACTTGGATGATTTGAGCCCCTCAACCAGCAGGTACATTTTTGACCTGATCACCTTTGAGGTTCTCCAAGTTGCTACTTCCTACTTATGGACTTCTCTACCTTCCATGTATCATATTGCAATGCCTTCTATCGATGTTTAATTTTTTTTCTTGGTATAGGGCCTACAAATAGTTATACATCTGGTAATGTAATTCTCTTTTATTTTTCTTCAGACCTCTTCTGGTTAGTAGATTTCAAGTACGTAGGTTTTTTTTGGGACTCTTACAAATGCCATATGTCGTGACGTTGTTCTACCTATTTCGATAGGCTTCTTTAACCTTACTTATTTAACATTTTGGAGAAAGTAGAAAACATATAATTTACTCTGGCTCTTATGAAGGTTCCACCTCTACGGGCTGGGGCTATGCCATAACAATTATTTTGCTACCTCAAACTTCTAACCTTTTTCTCGTCTTTAGTGATGTTGCTTCCCGTACCTATCTATTTCTTTTCATTATTATCTTGGCACTTCTTAGTTTGTTTGTTGCACTGGCACTTCAATTGGCTTATGAACCTTTTATAATATCCTGCCTTTGGCATGGTGCAATCACTTTGTGTTTCTTTCTAATCCTTGTCCTTATTGCTAAATTCTATATATCAAATGTCTTTTCCTGATTGCTCTATGGTGTTGTCCCTCATTTGGAATGTATCAATAGTGAATAGCGGTAGCCGTATGTCCCTTCCTTCTATATATATATATAAATGGGCTCTGGGTAGAACTCATCCCAAAAGTTAGTTCAAAGGGAGAGGGTGCCCAACACACATTTATACACAATACAGCCCGATAACTAGTCCATGTGGGACAAACATAACTTCTAACACCCGCACAACGTGCCAAACCAAATTGGTTGGGTCCAAACCCAACATCGTCTCGAAACAAACACACTTGGGTGTTCTGATACCATGATAAACGAGCCTGAATAGAACTCATCCCCAAAAGCTAGTTCAAAAGGATAGGGTGCCCAACACACATTTATATACAATAACAACCTAATAATTAATCGATGTGGCACAAACATAACTTCTAAGCTCTAACACACACACACATGTTTACATACATTTAAATTAATATATGTATTGTGAATTTATTTTTTCCTGGCTTATTATAGGCCTTAGATTTTTGGCTATTAACAATTTGCTATTTCTTAATTTCTTAGGCAATGGCCTATGTAAGTGATGAAAAATCAGGAATTAGATTATGAACGTGCCTTTGTGCTCCTTTTGTAGGCTGTGGATTTGTATTCATGGTTCTTCAATTTCGACTTACTTTGCGACCCTTTAAGGATACTTAAAATTACTAATGATCGAATATATACAATTTGTTTGCTCTGTTGCTTATTATGATTCACTATACATTTTTCATTGTTTGCTTGGTGAAAGGGGTACAGTTTTCGACCCATTATTTGATGTTTTTAACACTAGTCATAATTTTTCTACATTACTCCTTCAGACTTTTGACATTGACTGATCTCTATTGCAGTGTAATGAATCTATTAGCAGAAATTTATTCCCAGGAGCAGATGATTCCAAAGACTTTTGGAACTCTGGATTCCAAAGAAAATGTTGATCTCAACCATGAATATAGTCACATGGATGGTCTAGGTGAAGGAATGAGTTCTTTGGAGAATCCTTATATGCTCTCAACATTAGCACCAAGATTATGGCCATTTATGAGACATAGTATCACTTCAGTCCGCTTATCAGCAATCCGCACCTTGGTAGTATATCAACTTGCATACTATACTTACCGTGTTTTACTTTCATTACCTGTTGTATATTTGTTCGTTACTCTATGTAGGATGGCCTAGTTATTTACTGCACTTGTTATAAAGTGGTTATTAAACTGAGAACATGGACCATGAATATGCAGGAACGGTTACTTGATGCTGGTTACCGGAGGAGTATCTCTGATGTGCCCGGCTCATTTTGGCCGTCTTTTATAGTTGGCGACACCCTAAGGATTGTTTTCCAGAACCTGCTACTTGAATCAAATGAAGAGATTCTGCAGTGCTCAGAGAGAGTTTGGAATCTCTTACTCAAGGTATGCATTTTGTTGTTTGGTTATGGTGTTTGCTACATGTTCTCTTTCGAATATGGTTTCTACTGCAATATTAAGTCATTCCACTAGTTTCTATTGTATGTTATATAATGTGTAAATTGGTAAGCCGGGGCTTTGCCACTTGACAGTTTCAGTTGTTTCCTGCTCCAGTACTAATATGTTTGTTGACTTTATCAGTGCCAAGTGGAGGACCTAGAAAATGCTGCAAAATTATATTTCTCCTCATGGATTGAGCTTGCTACTACCCCGTACGGGTCTCCTCTGGATGCTACACAAATGTTTTGGCCTGTAGCTCTGCCTCGTAAAAGTCATTTCAAAGCTGCAGCTAAAATGAAAGTTGTTAAGGTGGAAAGTGAACATCAGAAAAATAAGGTCCTGGAGTTTGCAGGGAGCATGTCAGGAGAGAATGGAGATGCTTCCGCGAATTCGACCAAGATAATTGTTGGTGCAGATTTAGACATCTCAGTAACTTATACAAGAGTAGTAACATCATCAGCCCTTGGTGTATTAGCGTCTAAGTTGAATGGTTCATCCTTGCAATATGTGATCGATCCATTATGGAAGGGGTTGACATCCTTATCAGGAGTTCAGCGGCAGGTAATATTTGTATGCAGAGAATGAATGAAGTGTTTTCATTCCTTATTATTGTTGTCGTTGTTCTTATATAAGTTGTTGTCTAGCGGTACTTCTTGTGTGAAGTATGACATAGATGCCTCTTTGAGTTCATGTGTTTCTTGATTATGCTAGGTTGTCTCCATGGTCCTTATATCTTGGTTTAAGGAGTTGAAAAATATTCCCAAGTCCGATGAAGTTATTGTCGGCATTTCAAGTAACTTCAGACTGTGTTTGTTAGATTTACTAGCTTGCAGTAACCCTGCATATCCAACAAAAGACTCACTTCTACCTTATGCTGAACTCTCAAGAACTTATAGCAAGATGCGGAATGAGGCAGGCCAGCTGTTTAGTGCTACAGAGGCATCTGGCCTGTACAGTGATCTCTTGTCATCTGTTAAAGTGGACATTGAGAATTTGACTGCAGATGATGCTGTGAATTTTGCATCAGTGTTTGAATTTATGGGCAACGGTACCTCTGCACCGGAGTCTGAAGGAAGGATTTTGTATGAAGAATTAGAGTCTCTAAAGCAAAAGCTTTTGGCAACAGCTGGGTATCTGAAATGTGTCCAGGCAAGTTTTAACTACTATGAACCTATCTTATTTCTGAACACGTCTTGAGTTTACCAAGTTACTGTGAATATTGGCCTTTTGTCTATACAAATGATTCAGTAGCTCGTCGGACTCGTCATTAACTGTTTTCTGTGCTGTTTCAGAACAATTTGCATCTTACTGTGTCGGCTTTACTAGCTGCAGCAGTTGTTTGGATGTCAGAACTTCCTGCCAAGCTCAATCCAATTATTCTACCCATAATGTCATCCGTTAAGAGAGAACAGGTATTTTGTGCAGTTTGTACAGAAACGCCTCAATTCATTTTATAATTGTGTTTCTATTCCCTGTAGGAGGAAATACTGCAATGTAAGGCTGCTGAGTCGCTGGCAGAGCTCATCCATCATTGTATTGAACGCAAACCAGGTCCCAATGACAAGCTAATCAAGAACCTATGTAATTTAACCTGCATGGATCCTCGTGAGACTCCACAGGCAGAAGCTCTCAATTCTGTTGAGATTATTGAAGACCAAGACCTTCTGTCATTTGGAAGTAGTAGTGGTAGGCAAAAATCTAAAGTTAATATGTTTTCTGCTGGTGAAGACAGATTGAAGGTTGAAGGCTTCATTAGCAGACGTGGGTCTGAACTTGCATTGAAATATTTATGCATGAAGTTTGGTGGTTCTTTATTTGACAGACTTCCTAAGATCTGGCATTGCCTTGTTGAGGTACTTAGTTCTTGTGATTTTGAAGGCCTGACACCTGAAAATGAGAAGCTGATTGATCAGTCCATTGGTTCCATTCAGGATCCTCAGATTTTAATAAACAATATCCAAGTGAGTATAATAAGTTTCTCATTTAATCACGTGTGAGAGACACATTGTTAATGTTTCTCACTTCAATTGGGTTATGATGTCTGTCTGTCAGTATCTGTCCGTCCGTCAGTCCCTCCCCCCTTCTCTATCTTATCTTTTTCGGCCCCCTGTGGTGCAGTTAGGTTTATAATGCAACACTAACTCTGCAAAAGGAAGAAGTTTTGCTGCCTGTTTCTGCTGTTTATTCATTCACCGTAGAAATTTACAGAAGATTCGCATGTTGGTGGTTTGTTTACTGAATAGCTGAATGAGTCACGCTTTATATGTCATGTACAGTAATGAACTTTTGTTGTCAGCTTCCATCCCCTTGTTGAAGAATGAAGACAAAAACTAGTTCTTTGTGTTGTGTCGTGATTGTCTAATTAATTTGGGAAGCTTATTGTTTTCGTAGTTTTTTTTTTGTCCTTTTCAATATTTTTTTGTTTCCTCGTTTCTCCCTTATTTTACTTTCATTTTCTCTCCAATAACAGGTGGTGCGATCTATTGCTCCTTTCCTCGAAGCCACACTTAGGCCGAAGTTTCTCACTCTCTTACCATGCATCTTTAGATGTGTGAGACATTCTCATATTGCAGTAAGATTATCTGCATCGAGATGCATAACAGTGATGGCCAAGTCGATGACTTTGAACGTTATGGGTTCTCTTATCGAGAATGTTGTTCCTATGTTAGGTGATATGGGATCTGTGCATGCCAGACAAGGAGCTGGGATGCTTGTCAGTTTGCTTGTACAGGGACTGGGTTTGGAACTCGTCCCATATGCTCCTCTTTTGGTTGTGCCTCTTTTGAGGTGCATGAGTGACTGTGACCATTCAGTCAGACAGAGTGTGACACATAGTTTTGCTGCCCTGGTACCCCTTCTTCCGTTAGCACGTGGGGTATCTCCACCTGTTGGACTTACTGACCGTTTATCCCGTAATCAAGAAGATGCCAAATTTCTTGAGCAGCTAGTTGACAATTCTCATATTGATGATTACAAACTCCCCTTTGAGCTAAAAGTGACTCTGAGGAGGTAAGTGTAACTTTCTTTTATCGGCAATGCCATTTTATTTCTTTAACTTTCTTTTTATATAGCCGACCCCATTTAGTGGGATTTTAACGGCTTCTTGATTGATTGATTGTGGATATTTGAATTCTTATCTATTTATGTTTGCTGAAGTACATGATTCAATTTGTTGTTATTCTCGTGTGAAATGAAATGGACAGTAGAGTTGGGCTTCATTCATCATGTTTATTTCACATTTGCTATATTATTTTGCTCTTTCGTAGTTTTATTTTACGGGGTGATTAGTATAGGGTACTAAAATTTGGTCTTTGAAATGCAAGCAGAAATTCGTTATAATGCCAGTTGACATCTGATTCAAATATATCATCTCTATCAAAGTGGAGTAACACATTTTGCGATTACTTTTGAGAATGTGTTACCTGCTCAGAATATTTTTTCATTGTTCAATTACTGCTTTTCCAGTACTGTATGGTTGAATTTGTGGTTTTCCTTTGTCCTATTTATGTGCTAGATATATGCAATTATGGTATATCTGAATTTCTAATTTCCAAGTTCTGGATTTTGATTTGTGCTGTTCCTGTTCTATCTGTATTATTTGACTATAATGACTGCCTGTGCTTTCAGACCTCTAATGATAAATTTGCAATCGCTTTTGTTGGTTCATGTTCAAAATACTTGCTTCATTCTCATTTCCCATGCCCAATGTCCCCTCTCATCCAGACTTTCTGTTGCACATCTCATTTTGTGGTTATATTTTTGTTTCTCTGGTACTTTCAGGTACCAACAGGAGGGTATAAACTGGCTTGCGTTTCTGAAGCGGTTTAACCTTCATGGCATCCTATGTGATGATATGGGCCTCGGTAAGACACTTCAATCATCGGCTATCATGGCATCTGATATAGCTGAGAACATTGCCGCCAATACGGGTGAGGATTTGCCGCCATCATTAATTATATGTCCATCGACCCTTGTCGGGCACTGGGTCTACGAGATCGAGAAGTTTATTGATCCTTCTCTTTTAACGACGCTTCAATACATTGGTTCTGCCCAAGAGCGCACTTCCTTACGGCTTCAATTTAACAAGCATAATGCCATTGTCACTTCTTATGATGTTGTCCGGAAAGATGTTGATTTTCTTGGAGAGTTTATGTGGAATTACTGCATCCTGGATGAAGGGCATATCATAAAGAACTCAAAGTCCAAAGTCACAGTTGCTGTGAAACAACTTAAAGCCAAGCACCGCCTCATATTGAGCGGCACACCGATCCAGGTCTATAATTTCAAACTGTGCTTTTAGTCTCTACCATAAATTTTTTCATCTTGCTAAAGAAATTTTGCTTCCGAATGCAGAATAATGTCTTGGATCTGTGGTCGCTTTTTGACTTTCTCATGCCGGGGTTTCTTGGAACAGAAAGACAAGTATGTCCTGTATTTCCAGTCAGTTTTTACTCGTGATTTTTCGTATTTGTTGGTAGATATTCGGCCTCTGTACCATTATTGCACGTTTGATAGTCGGAATTTGATTTCTATGCGTTGGTATTTCCACAGTTTCAAGCCACATATGGAAAACCTCTAATAGCCGCTAGGGATCCTAAATGTTCAGCAAAAGATGCAGAAGCAGGGGTACTAGCCATGGAGGCATTGCATAAGCAGGTACTCTTTATGTTTTCAACACCTATGCTATTGCATCTATAAACTAAACTTTTTTGCTTATATTTTGTTTCTCTATTATGTACATATATATTTGTGCACGGATTTATCTTTTTTGTTTGCATTTGGAATCTGCTCTTTCTGATGAGATTCTCTTCTGATAGGTTATGCCTTTCCTTTTACGTCGTACAAAAGATGAAGTGCTGTCTGATCTGCCTGAGAAGATAATTCAGGATAGATATTGTGACTTGAGTCCTTTACAGCTGAAATTGTATGAACAGTTCTCGGGTTCACATGTAAGACAAGAGATCTCTAGTGTAGTTAAGCAAAATGAAGATACTGGAGGGGCGCCCAAAGCATCCTCTCATGTTTTCCAGGTAAGTATAGGGTTATTGCATTCTTTTAATATTTTTGCTTTCTTTTCCTTCTTTTTTTTAGTGTATGATTTCCTCTTTTCTCTATTGCAGGCGCTTCAATATTTGTTGAAACTTTGTAGTCATCCATTACTTGTTCTTGGTGAAAGGATACCAGACTCACTTTTACCAATGATGTCAGAACTTGGATCCATGAATTCTGATATATCCTCAGAGCTTCATAAAATACATCATTCGCCGAAACTTGTCGCTCTTCAGGAGATAATGGAAGAGTGTGGAATAGGTGTGGATGCTTCTAGTTTTGAAGGATCTATTTCTGTTGGGCAGCATAGGGTCCTAATATTTGCACAACACAAGGTAAATGGCTGCGTTCTATTTTGCACAACTCCTAATTCTGTATGTTATGCTCTCTTGGTTTGTAATAATTGTGGCTTACATGCAGGCGTTTCTGGACATTATTGAGAAAGACTTCGCACATTAAGATTTTTAAGTATTCCTTACCTATTTTTAAGCAGTGTTACCTATTTGCGGTTGGACGGATCAGTTCAACCTGAAAAGCGCTTTGAAATTGTCAAAGCATTCAACTCGGACCCCACAATTGATGCTCTACTGCTCACAACTCATGGTACTACTTATTCACCTGCCAAACTCATTATAAGAAAGTCAAACTTTTGTGACTTTAACCTCATATTGCGATACGTGCAGTTGGTGGGCTTGGTTTAAACTTGACATCAGCTGATACCCTTGTTTTTATGGAGCATGATTGGAATCCCATGAGAGATCATCAGGTAGATACCTTCCTTCAAGACTTGTTTCAGTTCATTCATAAACCTTGGACTGCAGAGAGGAAACATGCTCTTGCGCAAACAAAATAAAAATGTTGCTACTTGTCTACTATCCTTTTGTCATGGAAGGATTTGGTTTTAGTGATGGGATTATCATGGAATTGATTATCAATTTTGATTAACCTCATAACAGAAAATTTTGACATTTATAAGATTTGGAGTAAGATATGCATTTTATAAATAGTATATTGTTGTAGACATTTTGTATGTTCTGAGCTACAATGTCTGACTACTGCCTTTTTGTTTCATCTCAACCGTTGTGCCTTTATATATTTGGTGATTTGGTGCTACTTGAAGTGGGCAGTACCCGATTTATTGGAGCAAAGGTCCAAAGTTTAATCGAAGAATTTTAATGGTGTAAAATGAAACATTCATACATGTGAGAGTCATGTTTATGCTTCATGCTGTAACCACAAAAAGATTCTCACCTGTGGTTAAAAAAATTTGTGCCTTTTTAACTAAAAGAGTTGCATATTGAAAATTTTGTTTTTCTGGGAATGACTTGCAGGCCATGGACAGAGCACACAGGTTAGGCCAGCGCAAGGTTGTGAATGTCCACCGTCTTATCATGCGAGGCACCTTGGAGGAGAAAGTTATGAGCCTCCAGAAGTTCAAAGTTTCCATAGCTAATGCCGTCATTAATGCAGATAACGCGAGCATGAATACGATGAATACCGATCAATTACTTGACCTGTTTACTTCTGCAGATGGCAAAAAGGTAGGCCTCGTATGGTCATACGTTTCATATCTAATTTCTAGTTCTAGTGTTGGTAACGGAAGTTTGAGATGCACTGATTTTCATGTGAAAATTGAGATTGTATTTGATGAGTAATTTTGGAGGTTCTCCATGGATATAATATATTGAAAAGTTTTTGATTTTTGGCAACAGATTCACAGTATTTTAGTGTGTAAATGAAAGTTGAGAATGGCGATTCACAATGAGAAGCGTATAAAACAAACATGGTTTCATTTTTATAAATAAAGGACACAGACATAGATAGTTGGAAAGAAGCAAACAAAATTGTATGCTTTTGTTTGGTATTTCAGATCTTCCATGTCCCTTGGAAAAGCTCCAGTGGTTGGTCCAGAATTTCAACCATCTCTTGAAAATCACTTATTAACCTATTGATTATTTTGTTATTTTTACAAATTACATCCTAAAGTGGGTACTTGTAATTTCGGAAACTAAATGATTTTTCTCATTTTGTTTTTTGGTAATTAGGCTATAACCCAAATGTGAAACTTTTTAGCTTAGTACATCTTATATGTGTTTGTATGAGTGAGTTTGTATGTATATTTTATGTTTAATGTTGTGTGTCTTGTTTTCCAGGGACCAAAATCTTCAACAGCATCTGGTGAAGATGGCAAAGCAGCGGGCCGAGGAAAGGGCCTGAAAGCCATTCTTGGTGGGCTGGAAGAGCTTTGGGACCAATCACAATACACTGAAGAATACAATCTTAACCAATTCCTAGCCAAGCTAAATGGCTGAAACAAAGTTGACTTTCTTTGTGCTTTTGAGAATTTCGAGTTGAGCATACAGCCGGTAACTGTATCCCAGGCCATTGTGGCAGTTGATGAACAAAGCTGCTCTTGATGTACAAAAGTGTAAATTTCTAAAAGTTTGCAGCTTCATTTTTGACACTTAGCACCAGAGGGCTTTCTTTATTTCTTTTTCGTAGGGCTCATTGGTTTTTTCTTATTCGTTGGCTGCTTTTTGGCCTTTTGGTAGCACCATGGAGTAAGTAGGGTAGTCGAGGCTTTCTGTGATGTGCAAGCCAATGAGCACGTATATGGCTCTAGGAGGAGGGGAGTTGTAAGAAAATGTAAATTTTGGATGCTGTACATTTATTCAACAGATATTCATTCCTGAAGATGATTTATGAGGGCTCAATTTTTTGTTAGGTTCTACTCTATTATGCCATAATATCGGTGCTTCTATCATGTAGAGTATGATGGTAGTTTTGTAGGCGATGACACACACTCCTGGAAGTGGGGATAGCGGGTGCTTTGGTATTACTGGTGATGCTGGGTTTTATTTTTTTTACTAGGACAACGCTCATGAACTTTTAAGCAACAAAGAATGAAAAAGAAACAAAAAGGAAAAGAATTTGTAATAGTATTTTAAATTCTATAAAATATTTTTTATATTATTTATTTTATTAAAGATATATTCATTTTTTTTATCAATATCGTGCCCCATCTCCGAATCAACTTCCAAGTAGATTACATTCTTGAAAGAGAGTGGGCGGCCGCATTGTTGAGGAGATGCTTTGTTCGACCCATAGATGCTTCTACATACGCTTGTTTCTCATAACGCAATATGAATTTCTACATGAATATGATCTGTGTTCTCGATGAAATGAATACTGCCAGGTGAGGAGTGACCTGAAGTACGACATCCACCACCCTAAAAGACAAATGACAAGTTGTTTAGGCCTGCTCTTTGGCGAACCTTTAAAAATGCATCCCAACCCGCCTATTAGACTGGGCGGGGCAGGGCGGCCCGCGAGCCTAGGCCCATTTTGACAAGCCTAGGAAGGAGTATTCGTCTTGTTTGACCGAAATGCTCATCCTTCTTTGAAACAACTATTCCTTTGTCTATTTGTCGGATTGGTGGATTGAACTGGTGTGGACGACAAAAGCTCCCCAGATTTTGAAAAGACGGGATGCTCACCGGATTTCTCTCCAACCCTCTACATCCATTATGATGACATGAATGAGAGAATAGTGAGTGAATTATGCTTTTGAGCACAAAATAAAGTGCAAGGGTAAATATGACTTTTCACAGCCTAAATAGCTATTTTTTATTGTTTTATAGAATAACTAATTTTTTTTTATTATTTTCCATGCTTACGACTGTCAGTTCTGGACCCTTATAGCTGGCCCCTCGGCTACTTCGTGAGGTAAGTCACGGGATATGCCCTACTGCCAGTCATATTGCCCCCCCCTTTATATCCCTGCGCCCAACCGCAGAGCTGATTAACAACATGGCCCTTTTCTTCCAGAGGAGGAAAAAGTTGCCGAGGGTTCCTTCCTTCTAGGATTCGATTCCCCTATGCAGAGCATCCGGGTCCTGTCACACCCGTTGACCACAGGTCTTGAATCGGCTCATGGTTTTACCCGAGCTTGTTCTGGTTCATGATTTTTCACAATTTGAACCATCGGAACTAGAACCAGCAGGTCAAAATCTGACCGGCCGATATGTTCGAGGCCCCCAAAAACTCTGACCGAATTGGAGATTTCAACCTGGAACCACTGTTTTGAGATCCAGACCGGCCCGCAGCCGGAACCGATCCGGGTGGAGTATTTGGACCGGGCAACCAAGGACCCGGTCAAACCCGGTCAAAACCCGATCGACCCGGCAGAGACCCGGCCGACCCGGGGCATTGACCCTGTCGGGTCAACCCGGTTGACCCAGTCTATATATATTTTTTATATTTTTTATATTTTTTTTTGTTTTTTAAAAATAAAAATATGTATATATGTTTATATGGTAACTATTTATCATGAGATACATATTATTAACACTTTAATATACAAATTTTATACACAAAACATTTAATTTTGTTACTTTTATGTATATTTATATAACAGAAATACTCTATATATAATTTTAAAAATTTTAAAATTAATTATCCGGTTCAGCAATTGACCCGGTGACCCGACAGTTGAACCGGTGACCCGGTGACCCGAGAACTTGCCCGGGTCGATCACCAAAAACTATGCCTGGAACTTGATTTTTTCAGCTGTTTGGTTGGTTTTTTTCAACTAGTTCCTTGTCTTCTTGTTTGTAATTTATGTTTTCTTCTATAAAATTTATCGTTATGAATGATAAAAAAAATAATAAAGAAATGAAAACTGGGATCTGCTTTTGGCCATGTTAGTATTCCATGACTATAATAAGTCACTCCATCGAATTTGCAGAAAAAGTTCTGTTAGATTCAAAGCGAGGTGGGATTTTGTACTCTTTTGGTTTGATGTGCACCTTCCGAGTGTAGTGTGGGTGGTCTCTCATTTTCCCCAAACATGTTCGACGAATTGTGTCATAGAAAATGATCTTCCGGCGAAGGCCAAACCAGCTCTTCACCGCGGCACGCATTCCCTCATTCATCAAAATCCAGAGTCGGAATCTCGTCAACGTGAAGTTCAAGTGGGTCAACGACCCCGTTCTGGACACCGCAGTCTCGAACGCCCTACACCTCAAGGCCGCCTCTACCCTCATCTTGCTCATCGCCTCCAACCCCGATTTCGACCTTCCGATTTACTGCCTCTCCAGGTGCCGCGGCCAGCTCGGCCTCCCGCCGGACCTCAAACTCTCCACCTTCATCCGCCGCTACCCCAACATTTTCCGCGAGTTCTACCGCCCCGATTCCAGCGGCACCCCCGTTCCCTGGTACGAGCTCACCCCCGAGGCATCTGAAATTCACCACCACGAAACCCGTTTGGTCTACAAGAGCTGTTATGCGGATATCTTAAGCAGGCTGCAAAAACTGCTCATGCTCACAAAACAGAGACTGCTCCCTTTACAGACCATCGACCAGCTGAGATGGGATCTAGGGCTTCCGTACGATTACGAGACCACGTTTCTCACCGAAAGGCCCGATTTATTCTCCTCGGTGAAACTGCCGGACGAGCGTGTCGGCGTGAAACTCCTGACGTGGGACAATCATCTGGCCGTGTCCCATTTGGAGTCGAAAGGCACTCTCAGATATGGCAAGGCACTTGGTTTTCCCATTCAGTTCACGCGCGGTTTTGGGCTGAAGAGAAAATGCATGCAGTGGCTGGACGAGTGGCAGAAACTGCCCTACACGAGCCCCTACGCAGATTGGTCCAATCTCGACCCACAGACTGATGAGTCCGAAAAACGGGTGGTGGGCGTTTTTCACGAGCTACTGCAGCTGACGGTGCTTGGGAGGACAGAGAGGCGGAATGTGAGCAATTTGCGGGGCCCACTGGGAATGCCCCAGAAGTTCACCAAGGTGTTTGAGAGGCATCCGTGGATTTTTTACCTGTCTGAGAAAGGGTGGCGTGTAGACTGTGGTGCTGAGGGAGGCGTATGATCGAGAAGGGGTGATGGTGGAGAGTCACCCTTTGGGGGAGATTAGGGAGAAATACGCGTGCATGATGAGAAAGGGGTTTTTGGACAGGAGCCGGGGTTGTATAGGAGGGAAAGGGGGATTTGTGAGGGTGGTGGAGAGTGGTCTGCTGGATTTGTTGAGTCGGAAAATGAGATGGAGCGCGATTTGCTTTCAGAGTATGAGTCGGATTGAAACAACTAGGTATCCAATTTGCTTGTATTGAAAAATGTTCTCTTTGTATTTTTAGTGTGGAAATAGTTCCTGTTATTTGGCCGAATTATTTGCTATCGAGATTCATTGTTTGCTAAATTACATACATTTTGGATGAGAAAAATTAGAAAAGAAACAAGATAGGCGAGAAATCAACAGTATGTCTGCGGTTGGAAATGCATATATGTTAGTCATTCTTTATTTCCTTCTTTTTCCATTTTTCTTTCTTGCAGTNCGGAAAAAAAAAAAAAAAAGCGTTGGCCCCAACAGTTGATATTAGCTTCTTTTAAAATAAATGTAAGGGGTGAAACTTTCTTCTATACTATTTATAAAAGGACGAGTGATTTTGTAAAAATCATGATCTGTCTAAAAAACCTTTACTTAGACATATTTTTAATGGCAAATTAGTAATACTGCAATATCCATCTTATTTTATATTTTTAATTAACAAATGAACTACCTAAAAAACTCTTACTTTGACTTATTTTTAATGGCAAATTAGTAATGCATTAATACTCATCATATCTTATATTTTTAATCAATAACTAATATTTAGTTAAATAAATATAGATACACGAACAAAACATTCTAGATCTCCTAAAAATCAACCTCAACATTCTCATACCATTATTCCTCACGAATTTGTTTCTTTCACATATCTATCAAAATGCTTCTTTCATATCTCCAAAAAATCAACTCATATAACAAAGCTTTGAAAAGATACATAATTCATATTTTGAAAAATAATATATTTTTAATATAATTTTAATGTAAAATCGTAATTACTTTAATTAATAAAAAAAATTACTCCATGAAATTAAGTTTTAAAAAAAATGTTATATTGAAATAAAAAATACAACGTCAGACATTCCACTGATAATCGCAACGAATATTCATTGGTATAGAGAATATATACATAATCTAACAAACTAAAAAAGTGGATCAATTCATTTAGCTACTTCCTATTAAGAAAAATACACTCTTACATTTAGAAATTGCACCTTTTATTTATTGAATTGAATTTTTATCCCACAAAAAATACACTCAAATAATAATTATTTTTATTATTTAATATTAAGAAATTTAACTCAATTGAAAAATTAATAGGTAATTTTGAGATAAAATAATGAGTGATTTTAAAAAAATATATGGACTAAAAAGTTCATGTTTAAATATATTTTTAATAGAAAAAATGCAGGTATTCCACTGAAAATTGCAATGAATATTTCATTGGTGTAGAGTTTATTGGAAAATTTTATTGTCTATTTCAATAGAGATCAAATTAAATTACATTGAAATTTTTGTTGATTTAATGATTATAATTACCATTATTTATTCTTGTGTGAATTTCAGTTAGAAATTGTTTTCGGACCATATTTCAACTATTGGAAAATTTGTCAATAGAATTTTAAAAAATTCAATATGAGTTTATGGAAAGCTAATTGCAGTGGAGGATACAAAATAATTTCATATTGGGGGCACTATTTAGTTAATAGAAAAGTATACCATCAAAATAACATAATGCACTACAATTTATAAAATATACTTTTCATACTTTGTCATCTTTCTCATCTGTAATACATTTTTAACACATATAAGTTAGAAAATATTAAAAAAAAAACATGATTTTTATTAATTCAATATAAGAAAATCATTGAAAACAATGTACTTTTTAGAATTTTTTTTGAACAAAAACTTTATGTGGAACAATGTAAAGTAAAACAAAATATTAAATTCTATAAATAATATTAAAAGTGTTATAACTGATTAAAATAAATATAAAACTATTAAAACTTGTATTTATCAATATAAACGAGTTGAGTTGTAAACATTTGTTAATGTTTTGTGATTATTAATTCTATGTGTAAGGTTTAGGTGACAAACAATAGTTATTTGTATGTTTATCCATTTAGGTTGGAACTTTTAAAATAAAAAAAAAAATTAATTTTCTAATTTTAAATAACTTGTTTATCTGCTATTAGTTTTTTAAATATAATAACCAAATATCATATTACATTTATACAATAGTAAATATTTTCATTATTTAACATTTAATATGTAAGAAATATAACTCAATTAAGAAATTAATAGGTAATCTTGATATAAAATAATGAGTGGTTTCTAAAAAAATTGCATGGACTAAAAAGCCATGTGTTTAATGTATTTTTAATAGCAAAATTGTAAAGATAATTAATTAATAACAAAAGATACTATATAAAAATTTAATATTTAAGAATGAATACAATAAAAAAAAAAAAAACAACCAAAAGGTATTACACTGAAAGTTTCAACGGATATTTCATTGGTATAACTTTAATTGAAAATTTTCATTGGCTATTCCAACAGAGATAATATTAAATTACATTAGAATTTGACTGATTTGATTATTCCAATTACAATTATTTATTGTTGAATTTTTCATTGGAATCTTTCGTGAATAATATTTCAACCGTTGGAAAACATAGCCATTGGAATTGTAAAAAATTCAAATGAAGTTTTCTTGGAAAGCTAATTGCAGTAGCAGATCCAAAATAATTCTTACAGGGGGCACTATACCATCAAAATAACATAATAGTTTTATAATTTATAAAATTATAATTTTTATAATATGTCATATTTCTCACATGTGATACATTTTTAATACATGAATACAGTCACGACAAGTTAAAATAAATTAACATAAGAAAAACATAATTTTTCTTCCACATAATAAAATCATTGAAAATAATATTTTTTTTAAATTTTATGAGCAAAAAAAATATGTTGTGATATAGTTGACTCGACAATATAATTAATAAAATAAAACCTATAATTCTACATACATCAGTTAAAAAAGACATGAAAAAAGTTAGAGAAAAAAAATATGTTGCAAAAGAGAGAATAGAAGCTATCATCAAGATTAAAAAAATAAAATTAAAAGAGTGAAATTATAATTTCTAGATTTATCCTATTTTCTTTAGTTGTAAAATTGTGTTTATGTTATAACTTTAATAAAGTTATGAGCTGAATTGAAGTAAAATTGGTTGAGTCACGAATTAATTCATTATTTATCTTTCTTTCTTTTAATTTTTTTTTTTCAGAATAGGGGGTATGATTAAAACTATGAAAAATGTTCCCACAATTTTTATTATATACATTATGCTATATGTTTTGGGAAGTGGCCATGTGTCGACCATGTTAAAAAAAATGGATCTGCCCATGATTTCAACAAAATATTTTTGTTATAATTTTTATTGAAATAATTCAAATGAAAGGAATAACATTTTCATATTCGTTAGAACTGTCGTTGAAATTCGATTGTAATACATTTTTGTCGAAATTGTCGTTGGAATTTCATCATTTTTTTTTGTAGCAAAGGTACTTCTCCATTTGCGTTATATATACTATTGTGTGCAAATTTTTTGTTCAAGTGTGCAATTAATTATTATGAAAATTGTTGATAATGATTGAATATATAACACATGAATGTAATTATACTTTACTTTATTATAATTAGTACTTTTTTTTCAAAACAAACAAGATACATCTAGGTTAAATGTTCTTACCTATTTTATTAGTATTATAATAACTAAACAAGAGTTAAGAATGATGTTCTATGTAATAGAAAATTAAACTTTACAATGCTCAAGCTTATAGTTCTAATTCAATCCAAAAGTAAAAAAAGTGATAAAATTCGTTAATGTCATCCATCAGTTGGAGCTGATTAATGAGAAATATAAAACACATCTAAGATGCACATTTATTTGAACTATAACTTTTAAGTACACAATTTTTTTTTTTTTCATTCAAAATAGGGATATTAGTATTAGTTTTTTAATTAATATTTCATTACTATCCAACATTAATTTTTCACTTTTGAAATACTTAATATTTTTTATTTATTATCCTTTTATATGTAATATATCACACCATTTTTTCCAATGATGTTTGATTTGACAGTCTATTGTAAATAAAATAAAAATATTATAATTATTTCTAACGATATAGAATAATATATATATATATATATATATCAATTTAAAATAATAAATAGACCTAAAAGCATCTCATAAAATATATTATAAATCCATGTTAAATAAATATTACTAAGTATAAAATAACATAAGATAAACATGTGGTATATTTTTCTTACATAGATTTGAAATATTTATACTACGAAAAAAATAAAAAAATAAATGTAAACTTACAACGATTGTCAATTTTAATTATGTGAATTAAAAAGAGAAATAAATGTGTAGTATGCTAAACTATTATTCAATACTTTTTGAAAGGGAACACCATAATCGTTGCAACGTATACTTTCAATGAATATAATATGAAAATGAGTTAGTTACATAATGTTTCATCAAACATTGAAAAAAAAATGTAAACTTTTTAATCTTATAAACAGTATAAAAGTATAATTTTATAACATATACATTATTATAAATAAATAAATAAGTAATATTAAATTAGATTTTATCGTATGTGATTATAGTTGTAGCCTAATAAATAAGATACTTTGATAACAACATAATTATATAAATCGCGTAAAAAAATTAAACAATACATATAAATATGCCAAAATTTTTTTAACAAATAAAATATTATTTGTGAATACAATAAGAAACAAATATAACAATAGTAAGAGAATGAGCAAAAAGAAGTCTGATTTTTTTTAGAGAAATATGAATATCAACATCTAGAAACAAAAGTCTTTTCTAATTACTACATTTTTTATTACTAGAGTTTAAATTCTCATAAATATTGATCCTATATTATAAATTTTAATTTTTAAAATAATTAAAAAATAAAAAACTTTATAATACATAATGTATATTTGTATAATGACTTTGTGATAATAAAGTTCACAGATGGTGAAGAATATTATAATATAATAGATTTTTAATTTTTCTCCTCTCTAAGATTTTAACAAAGGATATGTTTCTCAAAATTATCTCATTGTTTTTTTTTTCATTGTTAAATAATCAAGAAAAGATATTTATTATAAATTTTCGAAACATTATGTTTGATGCAAAAATTTGGGCAATAAATGCGTCAGAAATCATTGGAACAACCAAGATGCTCAATGATTTGCAAACAAAATATTATATAGTTCGTCTATCTTCTAAATAAATAACATTGAAAAGGAAATGTCAGGGAATGATCAAAATATTATTGATTTTTTAAATAAAGTTATCATATTTTGATAGAAATATTTACAATTCTCATTGGTGTATTATGCTCGAATATATGTGGAATTACTCTAGAGTATATACTTTCATGGAATGTCTGATGATTTTAAAAAATAATTTAGTTTTCATGTAATGTGTGATGATTTAAAAAAATAATTTAGTGTCTCGGGAGAAGTATATATAACCAAAAGGTCAACTTTTATTTGGAAATGAAACTCATTCTCACCTCGTGGGGAGATGCCTCCATGTGGGAGGTGTCAATTTGTCTATATGGAGAGAGAATAATGAAGTAGTTTAAAAAAAATATATCAACAATTTTAATGACACGGTTGATTATTTCATTGAGATATTCATCAATTGTTATTAATAATACCTTATAAAGATCATAACCATAGAGTTTGACTATATATTTAGACAAAATATTTTGCATTGTTTGAATAAAGTAGACTTTTTGTCTAATGAATTAAGAAGAATTTGTCTATTGATGTATAGAACTCGAATGGATATGTATGTTTTTTTATGAGAACATCTTAAAACTAAAATAAAAGAAAATCACTCTTGAATCGTTAAACATTAATAAATAAAAGAACTAATGCATTTATATTAAATTATGTCTTTATTTTGTCATTAAGTGTCTTCTTAAAAAAAAATTATTGACTCATTTTGCATATATTTTTGTTGGGGTTGTAATATGTTATTTTATTCTGTTTACATTAGTACATCGTTATGTTATTTTGAAAAAACAAATACATTAGGACCTCATTTGTTCTACATTTTATTTTGTTCTTGCAATGATATGTTTAATAAATTAATTAATTTATTTTACTAAACTTAATCGGCAAAAAACATTCGCCGCCACGTGCGATGCACGTGCACTTTACTAGTAGTTTGAAAAATGGAAGTTACCCACAGGATTGTGGGATGGACCACGAAGGCAGCTTTGCTTTCCTCACATCTTTCAGCAACGATGAATAGTTTCTCCATTCGTCTAGCAAAATCCTGAGATCCTGAATCTTACTGTCCAAGCCAGCACAGCAGTTCGCATGCATCGTGCACACGAGGTTCAAGTCCTTGCTTTGGCTGGAAAAGCCTCCATAATAAACCGTGTGAAGAAACTTTATCTGTAGTCAAATGGCTCTAATGAAGGGGTCGAATTTTATCTTATTGAGCACATCCTGGTCATTTTTGCCTGGATAGTGTTTTTGCAACTCATATCAGAATTTCTAGCACTGGATTGTCTGGTTGGCTGATTTTACATGATTGACTGTAACACAATATTTGGAAGTTTGTGACTGTGTAGAAGCGTGGGGAAGGGTTTTAGGCTTTTAGCCACATTATGTCTGCATTCTGCGCCAACATGAGATGGACAGGAAAATGAAAGAGAGAAAATGCTCGTTTTTTGGAACTTGTAGCAGTATGTCTTGACATATATGAAATTATTATAGCAACTAAAGGAGACTTCATCAGTTGAGAATGCTGAGGCTTTCATTTGAGGCTACATTGCAATTTTTTGTCATGTATTTATATTAAATTTGCAATGACACAATATGATAATCAAAACTCTAAATATAACTGTCATTTTACGCTCTAAGTTACGAACAGTGAAAAACGAAATTGTATCCCGTCTCAAGAACACTTCTCAAGAAATCCATCGTTCTATACATCATCTTCAAGTAGTCCAGAGTCATGAAATGTGCCTCGATAGAGAAGTTTATGCCTTCTGTTGAAAGAAAGTAGCAGTGGAGGTCATGTTTCCTTAATCAGTGATCAAATGCCCTTTGGTCCAAAGCCACAACAACCAAATGCTGGAGGAGCCAATGTGTTTAATTCCCAATTCTGAAGCTCTCAAGAAAGAGATGAAAAATTGAGTTCCATGCTTCATTTAAGGTTATTATGATCTCTGTCTTGTCTGGCATGCATGGCTGCCCTTTGTAGTACTTGGTTCAGATCTTGTTCTTCATCATTTGCCTGAGGATACATACACTCCTTTCATTTACGAATAAAAGTCGAATACGATTGTATTTGTCATTAGGAGTAACTGTTACGTTGATATCAAATCCTACTGGTGTTTGGGTTATTGTTACGTTGGTATTAAATCCACTGGTATTCTACTCGTGCACACCGCGTGAAAAACAAATATAACTTTTCCTTTAGAAAATTTATAATTAAAATACAAAATTATTATAATACATGTCATATAAATATTATACAAATTTGATTATAATCTATACTTATATAAAAAGTCATCATATTACTAGAAATAGTAGGCAGAAAAGTCAAAGGTAATTAATGTTTGCTGAATGACATTAATTACAGATTTATTTTGGTATTTTAAACTTGACATTAAAGATTTGCTATGAGATAAAAATAAAAACCAATTCTTTTACCTTTGCTGGAAAGTCAAAGGTAAGTATAGATTTTTTTTATCCCATAACATCGGTTTAGCTAAAAAAATCCCATAAAATCGGTTTTAATGTCAAGCCTATAAATAAAGATTTAATCGGTCAAAATTAAATCATTTGTGGTTTGTTCAGATTTTAATTTATAAACATTTTAATATATATATATAATATATAGTACTTTTTGTAATAAATTTAAATAAAATGTGTTACTTAGATATCTAGACAATTATAAATTCAAATGTTTAAACTAATTGATAAATAATTTATAAATCTCTTTTTAATTTAAATATGTAATTATAAATATAACAAAATTTATTTAAGAAATCGTATCGATCCTACCAGTCCAACTGACTGGTGTTGACAGATTCGAAAGCAAATATTTTATTCAAGCGAACTAGACTGGTTATAAACCGGTTCTCGATCCATCCGGTCGGACTGTGTCCAATCCATTTTAATTTAAAAACAATGGATAAATCATGATTAATGTTATTTATATATTTAATTTACAATACAATCGTAATATTGTTTTTCCGTGTGTCGCACGGGCCACGCACTAGTAGTAGATAAAAAAGGGATGCAACTTTATACTTTAATTGTGCTGAAATGATGCACCTTCATCTCATCATCTCTCTCTATATATAATGTAAATTTATTTGACTCAAGCTTAAAATTGGTAAATATATTTTCTCCTGCCAAAAGACCTATTTTAGTAAGATATTTTGCAATGACCATATGCACCATATAATTGTAACATTGATGTATCTTCATTTAAAACTTCCCTCAAAAATCTAACATCAAATGTAATTGTTTATAAGTAAGTGTATATAAGCGGTACTAGTTTATTATGTAGTGACAGTACATATAATTTTTCTCACGTATACATAATATAACATTGTTCATGTCGGCAACACCTGGAGTCTGAAATCAAGATTGGGCCCTCTTTTTGCTTGCTATATATTTATTTTATCCACAAATTCTTGGAACAGTCCATGACCTACTGCTCAAATTGCGTTCCCCATAGGGCAGCGACACATACTTTTTCCAGTCATTAATGGTCATGTTAATGTCATGGATCTTGTTCCCAATCCCAATACAGCAGTTGGCATGCATAGTGACCACATGGTCCAGATCCTTACTGGGCTCGCAGAACCCACCGAAATGGGCCGTATCAAGGAACCGCATCCCAAGCCCAATCTCCTTAACAAATGGGTCGAACTTGAGCATGTTGAGCACATCCTGGTCGTGTTTTCCTGGAAAACGTTGTCGGCTCTCGTACCAAAATTTGTAGAATTGGACGGTTCGGTTGTTGGACCGGGCGTAACTGAAGCCACTGTTGGGCGAGTTGTTCCGGTCGGTGGAGTTGAACCAATAGTGGTCGCACGAGAGTTGGAAGTCAACGTTTGGGTAAAACCTTTCGAATGGGTCCCTCAGCCACATTACGTCAGCATCCTGCATGCGTGTGTAAAATTAAACCCACTCGAGAATATGTTGATTTAATAGTTTTAACTTTTAAATTTCTACTTTATTAATTTTAGTCTTTTTCATCATTAAGCATTTGAATACTAGTATTAATACTTATTGAAATTAAATGTATTCAATCTATTGGCTCAACGTTATGTTACTATTAAACTTTATTTGAATATTTTTTCCTATTTATTTGTCGTTATATTTGTTTCACTTTATTTTTTGAATTATTTGACTCTATATTAATTCTAATATTTATAAGTTTATAGAATAATATTACACTTGCCTAAAGTTTACGAATTATTTTATATATTATTTCTAATATTTTATATATAATATTTTAAGAATGACTATATATTAATTCTAATATTTTATATATAATAATTTTTATACAAGTTATCAATTTATATGTGTGCATAAGTGCTCAATGGCTTAATCTTATAGCATCTCCAATGGAACATTGTCCATTTTGTCTTGTAAGGCTTGAAAAAAGAAAAGTAAGAAATTGTGTTTCTAATGGTTCATTTTGACTGTGATATAATTTGAAATGTGTAAAATTATAATTGGTTGAAAAAACAAGAGATAAATTAAACAAATAGTATAATATATAAGAGCAATATTTTAAATAGCAGTATGTACTGATCAGTATTACCGGATACCGGTGGTCCGACCGATATGGTTACCCTCGAAAAACGGTCTTGGCCAAAATACCGGTTTCATAGAGGAAAATACCGGTTAAAAAACCGGGTATACGGATTTAAAAAGAAGAATATTTTTATAAAATTTTTATATACTATTTTTATTAAGTTATTTATATAAATAAAAAATTCTACACTTAAATTTCATATATTTACATTGTTATTATATTTTAGTTAATTTAGTATTTATTATATATAGTTAATCTTTTATATTATTTATATTATAATAATAGATTAATTTAGTATTTATTAAAACTGGTAAAATAGACAGTAAAACCGGTTGAACCGTAACCGATGGCTTGTCCGATATGATCACCGGTACGGTATTTAAAACATTGTATAAGAGCATCTCCAATAGAACATTGTCCATTTTATGGTATATGACATAGAGAAAAGAAATTAATAATTTGTGTCTCCAATAGTTAATGTTAATTGTGGTATCATTTGTGATGTGTAAAATTGTAATTGGTTGGAGAAGAGTAATAAATTAAATAAATAATACAAGTTGTTTAGAATATCTTTTACATCTAGAAAGAATTTTTGACATTTTCCACGCCACATAGGATTATTTTTTGTTATGTGGTAACAAAATAGAACAATTCAAAGACTATTGTAGATGCCCTTACTATTTTTAAACACTCAAAAATTGATGTGTAATAGGGTAGTAGATCAAAGTTTAACCCATAGTATTTATATTTTAAATGCATGCAATATCAAAATGGATGATATTTTTGTTATGTGGTAACAAAATATAACGGAACGTTTTACGAGACCTTCGAATTTCTCCTACGTACAAATTTTTCATTTTGTACCTAGTACTAGAGAGTGACCTACCGACTTGTGGTTGGCCTCATATATATATAGCTCACGTATGTGGAACCCACTCAGGGATTGCCCATCATGCTTTTGTATAGCGTTGAACGGTTGTTTGACACATTTTTTTTATATATATTTACATTTAACAATAAATTTCTAACTTTTAATCTGTTAAAATTTTTCATTCTAGTATCATTACTTTATGTAGGACAAAATTTCTTAATAAGTTTCTATTAACTTTATTTTCATAAAATTTTTTATATTTCTTTGTTTTAATTTATGTTTCCACTATATACAATGATTTAATAATTAATCAATATACAATTATATAGACAAATTATTTTAATGGTTGCCTGATGCTGTAATTTTGTTCAGTTGTGTTACTTGATTATAAATTATTTATTATACTCATATTTATTTATAAATATATAACTGATTAATATTTTACTTTTTATTTCCTTCAATATTTATATATATATAGTTGTAGTGTCTGCAAATGTTTTCTCATGTAGAATTTTAGAATTTTAACTTCTCTGGAAATTTATATTATGAACAAAAATTTAACTGAATGTAATTTTTTTATTTTTCATAAACACACACGTTTTTTAATACTAATTAGTTTCTTCAAAATATTAGCATTCATGCTATGCATGAGATATATTATAAATAATACTAATTTATATTATTATTTTTCTTTCGTGCTTTTATTTTTTTCAATCGGTTTCAGAAAAAAAATACATATCTGACCATTAAATCTACATGAATTTTATTTTCATACGCTTTTATACTATAAAATATTTGACTGCATACAATTTTAAATAAGATATATCGATATCTAAAACTACATTTGTGTATTTAAAGGGTACTTATTTATTAATCTTCTAGAACTGATTTCTAGACGAATTTCAATAATATTCTTATATTTTGTTGAAAATTTTAGGTAGAAATTAAAGTATATGTTAATTTTAGCAAAATGAATATAAATATAGATTAATAAGATTAGCAATGTCAAGTTAATTCAGCATGGGGAAAAAAAGAAGGTGCATGTAATAGTAATACCGTGAAAACGAAATTAAATCCCATCTCGAGAACCTCGCGTTGAAAATCAATCTTTCTCCACACCAACTTCAGATAATCTTCCGACATGAAGAAAGCTTCGCCAGAGAAGTCAACGCCTTGTGTTGTTAGGCGATAACAGTGGAGAAATCGCACTTGCAAACAACGAGAATATGCCTTTTGGTCCAATGCTCCAACCACAACATGTCTCAATAGCTTTTCGGTTCCGTTTCCAATTTTGAAGGACTCGATAAAGAGGTCAAATATGGAATTCGGTTCAGTCCACGCCGCGTTTAGGGTCGTAATGATCACCGTTTTCTTGTCCTTCATGCCTGCTTTTCTCAGTGTCTCCTCAAGCCTCATCTTCTCTGAATTTACCTAATAATAATATTATTTTTTTTGCCAAATAAAATTAAAATTTTAATGTTAGAGAGAAGAATGGTTTGTGAAATGTGACGACTAGAGATGATGAGAATCATGAACTGATGATTTTTTAGATATAGAACATCGTGTATACGTGTCATTTATCCATCAAAATTAAACACAGAAATGAAATAAGAAAATGGAACAATAAAATGTAGAATGAATTTTAGA